GAGACAGACAGAGACAGACAGAGACAGACAGAGACAGACAGAGACAGACAGACAGGCAGGCAGGCAGGCAGGCAGGCAGGCAGGCAGGCAGACAGACAGACAGACAGACAGACAGACACACACACACACACATACAGCATACGAGAGAAAGTTGTTGTCGCAGACATGTGCCTGCTTTGCACAAGATCTCGAGGTAGGTGTGCTGGCGAAGTGGCCTCCTCGGCTGGCTACGCGCCACTCGGTGAAGTTGGGGTTCATGCACCATCACATTCTGAATCCTGTTTGTGCGACGTTTCTCTTTCGATACACTGCTGGCCTCCCAGTTCCACTGCGGGTCTCTATGTGGCAAGTGCTGGGGGATATGATTGCCCGGCTGCCGTGACGCCCAAGCAGAAGAAGGACTCCGGCACTGAAGGAACCTGACTTAGATCTTGTCTTCAGCCTCTGGTGATCGCAGGCAGCCTTCAAGGCCTCCAAGAATCCCTGGACGTATAAACGGCTGACCAAACAGTGCCCTGGCAGAAATAACACCATAGAACAGCCAGGCTTCCGCGCAATAGCCCTAAACCCTCACCGCACTAACCCTATAACCTCCGTTTTCCTCGGGCGGTACATCACCTGCTAGAATTGGCGGAGCCCCAGAACAGATAGCCGCACACTTCTGATGAAACCTTGTAACTTATAACCCTTAACCAGAACTCTTGTAGGGTTCGTAGAGAACCCTCAAGGCATCCTTCCGAAATCAGGGTCGCTGCGTTCAGCTCATGGTGACTTTGGTTGCACAAAACGAACTTCAGACCACAGAGCATCATAGAGCCCCTATAGAGAAGTCTTTTTTGAAACTTGTATAGAAACCGCTACAGAAACCATTATAGAATACTCTAGCGAAGCCGTCATTGAAGCCTTTATCGACGCCTTTATAGACTTCCTTAGGAACCTTATAGAACCACTATCGATGCCTTATACTCCTCTGTTGCCATGCCCAATGTACCTGATGAGCTGGCCAGGAGCTGCTCCAGGGTTTCGGCTTTAGGGGTTCAGGTTCTGGACAAAGGAAGGTTTAGGATTCAGGATTCAGGGTTTAGGGTTTAGGGCTTGGGGTTTAGGATTAAGGAGTTGGGCTTTGGCAAGGTGTGGGGCTTTTGGATCAATCCTGGGCCCAGGCTCACCCCTGGTGACCTATTCAGGACCGACTGCGCTATAGAGCCTTGGACAGAAAGCAGCCAACCCTAAACCCTAAACCCGAAGCCCCAAGCCCTTAAACCCGAAACCCTAAGCCCATTTCCCCAAAACCCTTAAGCCCCACTTTTCCAGCTGAAGATGCGGCTCGGAGAGCTGCCACGGTTCACTCAACGACCCAGGAACAACCAATGTAGAAGCTCTATTTCTCCTGCAGCTTCCTTCTTCCTCTACTTTTCTGCAGCCCAAAACCCGATTCCTTTTATGAAGGCCCGCAGACTACTGCAATTTGACCGAAAAGAATCAAGCAAGGACCTCAAATGACTACTCGGCTATTCGGGTATTGAAAGAGATCCTGACTCAGCGTTTTGCGCTGCCTTACACCCTTTCCGGCCCGCACCCGTGTGGATGACCACAACGCACAACGAAGTCGAGTCTCAACTGCACGCCCGGGAGCTGTGCCTTCCTCCGTCTTCCTGCTACTTCCATCCCATCATCTGCTTAAGCCCTAGCCCTAAACCCTAAACCAAATCATCTTTCTCTGCCGCCGAAATCCAACCAAAACCCAAGCTTTCCTCACTGCATCCGGCATCGGAATCTCAGGAGTCGCTCGCATTTACCAGGATGATATTCCTCTCTGGTGCGAAGGCTGGTCGCTAGCCCAACATGATATGTAATTACATATAATCTTCAACAATATCACTCAATATAAGTTTAAGGATAGATGTCAAAATATCTATGAGAGCAACAAAAGATGAACCATATGCAGGTGTGTGCAGATGGTGTCATCGAAAAAGACTCCTTCGCGAAATCAGGGCTTCAGAGGTAATCCAGACAGTCAAGCCAAACCATGCCAAGCCATCCAGAATGATGAGTTTGACAGTACTGTTTGATACGATACTTGGACTGACAGCGAATCTTTTCGGAGAATCTTTGCATACAACACATGTTCGAATGAACAGAGGGAATTCCTGCTCAAACACATGCACATGTACACTGATGTATACATGCATGTTGCATACCTGTGTGGGAATGCTTTCATGTAGGAGATAAACAGGTAGTTCGCTATCTTGTCCTTGCTTGACTATGCGTAAGAGAAGACGTATGCACTTGTATGTGCATGAATTCTGGATCATGCGGTGTGCATCAGCATAACTACACAAGTGAGCATGTGTCGACCTGCCGTGACAAGCGCTGTCGTGCTGGGCCAACACGAGGCCACTTCTGCTGGGCAGCACTGCTCCGGACCATCAAAAACAGTCACCGGGCAATGGTCCATGTTGCATTGCGATCGACTGTATGATGCAATGCAGCTACAATGCTACACGAAGGATAATGTTCCAGCAGGCTAGTGCGTGTCAGCAGATTCGAGAGTGCTACAAGGGCAAAGAAGGATGTCAGCGACCGGTGCCTGAAATGGTCTGTCAGCGAAGAGCTTGTTGGAATCAATTTCTTCATCCTGGGAGCTCCCACAGCACGGTGAGGTGTGCGAGATTCTCCAGGTTCCTTGCATACTTTTTTCACAAGAACTCTTGGGCTCAACCCTCTGCCGTAGGCCTACATTGAATTGAAGTGCAGTGAGCATGAGCGGGGGGCCAGACGTGACCCAGGTTTGTCCCCGGAACATTTTCCTCTCGCTGGCAGCCTTTGCAGGTGTTGGGGAGGCCGCACATGGCCTACAACTGCAAGGTGTAGGTGCAGGCTTGAATGCTTATAGAGGCGTGACGTTCTGCTAGCTACCCCCACATTCGCCCGTGGTGCGCAGGATGAGCGAACTTGTTCAGTCCGAAGGATTATCCAAGCTGTTGTCCCAACGGTTGAATCTTGGTATCCCGATGCAGGTTAGCAGCCTCCTCCACAAATGGTGCCTTGCACCTACGAGCTGCTGTAGATACATCAAGTCCGACTACGCCCCTTGGCCTTCTCAGGCTTGTTGTCCTTCTTGGTCTGTCCTTCCTAGCAACGGCTCCGTATGTGCCCATGGAACTGGACCAAAGGACGGATTCGCGCCGAAGCGTTCCGAGCCAATCCAAGCCAATCACAGACGTGCAGGACATGCAAGAACTCCGAGACTTTTCCGGGCAGGCTGCAGCTTTACATACGTTCGGCAGAGCAGCGTGCCCCGCGCAACCCGGCACACAGAAAGCACCGAAATAGAAACCTACACAACCCCACTAAGTCCAAAAAGCTCTGCGAAGACCACTACGAAAAGGCATCGAGTAAAGCCCGGTCGAGCCTCCGTCGCTCTTCTCGTGTCAGGTCTGCTCCTGCGGCGCTGTGGACTGCGGGGGGCGGGGGGGGGGCATGCATTTTTGTCGAGCAATCTCCGGGTGGTGGCGGTGGTAGCAGTGCAGTAGTAGTAGTAGTAGCAGCAGTAGTAGTAGTAGTAGCAGCAGCAGCAGCAGCAGCGGCAGCAGCAGCAGTAGTGGTTTCTGATGTTGCTGTTGCTGTTGCTTGAAGGGCAGCTTGTTTCACCGGGAGCTTTCCAGAGCATGTCACAAGCTCCATGCCAGGAGCGCCAGAAAGCCTGGAAGGAGAATCGGCTTCGTGTGGGGAAGTGCGCAAGGTTTGCAGGTGGGGGCCTCAAGCTTCAGGCTAAGGCTAAGGACAGGATGATGGAGGGAAAGTGTCTTCTTGAGCAGGGAAACTTCCCATCCAGAAGCAAAGCGACTTACTCTGTCAGGTTCAACGGCCAAGTTGATTGGATCTGCTGTAACGAGCCTTGGAGCAAACGATGTAAAGCCTTCAAGCCGATTCAAGTTCCGAAGCAGTGCTTGCAAGGTTTGCTGCGGAGGCCTTTCATGCATGTGGGGATGACGCAAGCCTTCCCGCGGTGTGCTCCTCCATGGTCACCTTCGCGCTCCGGGGCTGCATGTGTAAGCTTGTTGTACAGAAGATAAGTTGGATGTTCTTGTACACTGTCAACCAGCACACAGTTGTGTCCTGAACAGTTACCAGGCTTGCGCGTGGCACCAATTTCCACGCCCGTTAACGATCAATCAGGATTGCTGCAAGGTCAAAACTTCGCTGTTAAGCTTACATGCAACACATGGACAAGCCGTCAGACGCGAGAAAAGAGAGAGAGAGAGAGACAGACGGACGGAGACAGACAGACTGACGGACAGACAGAAAGACGGATGGACTGACGGACGGACGAACGGACGGACGTACGGACGGACGGACTGATAGGCAGGCAGACAGGCAAACCGTTTTGCGTACATGCTACATACAGACAGTACTCACATACATGCGTGCATGTGCAGCAGCGCAGGTGTGCAAATATTTATCTTCTTCTCTCTCTCTCTCTATATATATACACACATGTGTGTATATATATATATACATATAATATACATATATATATATATCTATCTATCTATCTATCTATCTATCTATCTATATCTATATATCTATATACTCACACTAGCATCTATCATCACTTCTGTATTCGTTCATGCATGTGTGCATGCGCGCGTGCGGGGCTCTGTGTGTGTGTGTGTGCAAGTAAGTAAGTGTGTGCGTGCGTGCGTGCGTGTGCGTGTATATATATATATATGTGTGTGTGTATGTGTGTGTGTGCGTGCGTGTGTGCGTGTGTGTGTGTGTTGGCGTGTGTGTGTGTGTGTTTGTGTGTGTGTGTGTGTGCGTGTGCGTGCGTGCGTGCGTGCGTGCGTGCGTGCGCGCGTGCGTGCGAGCGTGTGCATGTGTTGCAGATTGAGTGTTTCACGGCATTAATCTCTAGGTTGATCTTTAAGTTGGTACATAGAGACTCATCATGTGCATGCGTATATTTTGTTTCGGGAAGCCGGGATAGAACGTCGCTGACACGTGTGTGCATATGCAGTACACACATAATACCGATTGCGGGAGCATCTGCGTCGGAGCGGCGCACCGGCGCATCGTCACATCCGCGTGTAAGCTGCGCACCGGCGCAACATCCAGTGCCCCCCACACTCCATATTCCGATTCATACATATCATCCCATGTCATGCCATGCTATATGTAGTGCACTACATACATAGTGTTTATTTCCTTCTTTCACCATATACCGCCTCATATCATAACATGTTATATCACATCATTTCATGCCGTATCCTATCATATCACACACTTTCATTTGGTTCCATGTCATATCATATCATAAATAGTTTGATAGAGGCAACTGTATGTTCATATTGGAACGCATTGTATGATCTGACGCATCATATTTTATCTTGTGTTTTCGGAATGTGTGTTTACTGCATGTGTATATATACATGTATTATATATATATACATACATACATATATATATATATATAGTTCCATCATGTTACGGTATTGCATCACATTAAACTACAGTTTAGTATGGTGTGGTATAGTATGCTAAAGTACCGTATGGTATACTGTGGTCTGTTGTGTTATACTCCATTGCATTATGTCGTACTTGTTTCTGCGTTAGCGTAGCACATATTAGTTTATTATGTGTATCATTAGATTGTGAACGACACGGCACTATATTCTCCGCTACTCTACTCTCCTATACTATAAGACAAGACAATAACATCACAGCACACTGCAATGATGTACTATAACAGAATAGTACCATGCAGCATGATCTCGAATTTATGCAATACGGTATTATGAAATAGCAGGCATGCGCGGCGGCATGTATACATCTCTGCATGTTGCATGCATGCTTGCACGTGTAGATGCTTGCGTTGATTTGAAGTCAACGTCCGTTGAAGCCGAGGATTGCTTCCTTAGGATATTTCGCAGAGAACGCCGCGAGAAGCCATTACGAATGTCCCTACTACATGCTCCTCGGCTGAAAATCTTGATACAGACAACTTAAGAAGGAGTTTCAGCTTGTCTGCAGTCAGTAAATGAGCAGAAGTATCATTTGCACTATGGGTGCCAGTGTGTTTCACCTTTCGGTTTGATGTTGTCTTGTCTTCTTGTCCAGTGATCCAGTGCCAGTGTACCCAGACTATGTTAAACGAACTAATCGCCGCCAACAGGCAAGCAAGACAGTTGTTCACACACTCAGGGGCCAGACTCTGTCAAGAAGGAAGAGTGAAATGGACCCACATGTCGAGATGCTAAGGGGCCAGAACCTGTACCAGTGTGGGCAAGATCAATCCAGATTGGCGTCTGCAGTGCAGCTGTTCGCTTCTGCCACAGCAGCTGCAGCCCCTTGATCAGAGGGAGAGAGCAACTGTGTCTCGTTTCGGTGGGTGGGAAATCAGTTGCCACTAAGGTGTGGTGTCTTTCATGACCTTTCTGAGATGTGCCGAGGTCATCAACTGCGGGGCACTGGGGTGGAACGGAAACTCCTTGCATGCGTTTGGCATCTTGGCAGCGAGCAATATCCGAAAGGCCAAGGACGTGGACACGGGTAGTGAGGTCCTAGGAGTTTTGCACTGTTATTTCGGCCAGTCTGCAGGGGGGCCATTGAGGGTGCTCAGACAGAATGTGGACGGAAGTGTTGGGCCAGATCATGTCCTCCAGACTTGAGGATGCAAGGCTTGAGTGGCTTCAGGGTGTGGGAGCTCCCCTAGGGCGATGTAATCATGCCACATCGCCCTTGCTCGGGCTCTAGCTATCCCAATTTGGCTCCCCAATGCCCAGGTTGGCATGGTACATCCGCCACGCCGGTTCTTTACGGTCTGAGGAGCGGACGTACGAGGTTGGGTAAGAGCAAAGTTTGTCAGACGGGTCGGAAGCGCATCCGGCCTCGGTGGGGACGAATTCTGCGCCAGATGTGAAGCATGCTGGCAGCAGAGTTGCCGGAGTTGGCAGCAGGTCCCCGCAAGTCAACCTGGAGCAGCGAGGCTCAGGTCGTGTTAACAGGACGGACAGCACGTTCGATCCAGAATGCCTCCAGAGCAACACTGTGTTCAATCAGCGCACTCTTAGTCCTGAAGCCTCGAGGCTGGATTGTCGATACGTGCAGGCTTTGCCAAAGTGTGAGCTTCGCACACGGACCAGTCGTACTGGAATCCTTCAAAGGCCGCCCCTGGCCAAAGCAAAGTATCTCTGCTACCAAGCAGCAGAAGTGAAGTCTGCTACCATCCGTGTCAGGTTCGTAATGTACACCTACACTTTTTCAACCTCAAGGTTCAAGATAATCGATCAATGCGTGCATCGTTTCGCATACACTTGCAGAGCCACAAACAAAGCCTCCGCAAAACTGTCTGTCTGCCTACCAATCACTCCCCTCCGCTCCTGCCTCTCCAGTGACTCGTGCTGGAACGTGCGCTCCTCCAATTTGCACTCAGTCATACTCACACTCTCCTGCAAGTGTGCTCGGGCACATGATTGATCATGCCTCTCGAAGGCTGCCAAAAAGGAGTGTATGCATGTATGCATGTAGGTATGTACGTATGTATGTAGGTATGTGGGTATGTAGGTATGTCTGTATGTCTGTACATATGTATGTATGTATGTATGCATGCATGTATGTATGTATGTATGTATGTATGTATAAGATATATATATATATATTTTCTTATACATGCCTTTCCGTCCTGCGGCGAAGGGAAGCAGAGCATGGTTGAGAGCAGGGCATTTTGCGTTGCGGCCCTTGACAATGATTCGGGCACTGCAGCTCACGAGCCTTGATGTGCTGAGCACGAAGATGCGTAGTTTTCAGGAGCCTGCATTGGAACTTGGGATCTCTGCATGGTCCCATGTCCGCAGGCAATAACAGAGTTCACGCCTGTCTGGGGGGTTTTTGGGTGGTGGTGCAACGCATTCTAAGCCGTCATCTGATGTCCGAAGTACACCCAAATCCTGGAAGCGTTTGATCCGCCCGCAAAAGGTATGAATCAGACTGTTGGTCCCGGCCGAGACTCGTGCACACAGGCCTTCTTTCGCGTCTAAGCCACTCTCCGGCTTCTGCTTTGACAGAATGACAGGAGAGTGCAAGTTTCTGTAGCCGGACGTTACCGAGGGGCCCTCGCTGGAACTTATACTAAGAAAAGAGTCATGCAACATTGGGCATGATAATGATGATGACGATGATGCCTAAGCCCAGGCCAGCATAGAGGGAACCTCTGACAGTTTTTGGTTCGGAGCATGCCGAGCCAGGTGTGTGTTGGTTTCGGTTCCGTGTGGAGCGCTGCGCGGGGACACGGATTTCGAGGAACTTGGCGACCTCGCCGGTTCAGGCTAGGACTAGACATCTGCTACAGATGCGATGACATCGCCAACTAGCAGGATGCGAAAGGCATGGGCAGTTTGCAGCCACTTGTGTAAGTGAGGCTTTCGGCTTCTTAGTCTGAGTTAAGCTCAGGATCTCGGGATGCACCACAGACTTAGCCGCGGTTTAGGGTTTAGAAAGTTTAGGCTTTAGGGTTTAGGGTTTAGGGTGCACATGCTGCAGATTTGAGCGATTTCGGGGACGATGACGACACCGCCAGCCAGGTTGTAACACAATACAGAATACGATATCATAGTACAGATATAGCAGAGGATAGGGTAATATAATGAAAGATAGTTTAAGATAATATAAGAAAACTGGGAAGCCTGTGGACCTAAGGCCCGAACCTTGCACCTGCAAGCCTTGAGAGCTCCCCACAAAATGCAGCCTGTAATTCTCATTCATGTGGGTAGTTCTCGAAATTAGGGTCCCTTTTTGAGCTCCTTTTTGTAAGGGTGCCGTACTATGTTGGGGACCCACAGGGGGACCCGAATTTCGAGAACTACCCATGTGAAAGGTGCATTCTGTGCCTTCAAGAGCCCCGTCGGCCCCAAGTGTGCCAGGATCCCAGTCTACCCATTCGTAGATGATCCTTTTCTGTAGTTTGAGGGTCTCTGCTATCATGCTGGATGCCCTGACGGGCAGTGCCTTGTTTCAGACGCGTGACAGCTAGTCTCAAGTGGGGTTTTTGCCAGGTTCTGCTTTTGTGGTGCCATACGGAGATCGTGCTTTCGAACAGCTCCCACGTGGACAGGCCTACTTGTACATACTAGATTCTGTGCTCGTCGTGGCAGTAGAAACTGCGTTCATTCTCATCTTTATTCGTTTGACATGCCAAACTGTTACCACCATACAAATGATCCCAACTCCCCAGCCATCTCCATCCGGTCCAGTCCCCCCACAGTCCCTCGGCAGAGTGAGTCTGGAGATGTGATGTCGCAAGACTGCTGGTCTGCTCTTTATCTTTCTGGCATTGGTCACTGAGGTATGCCAAGCAAGCGATTTCTGTGCGCGAAGTCCGAACAGTCGCGGATGTCCCTGCCCGATGCCCAGAGATCTGCCGAAGAGGTGAAGAGCTGTGACAGTCGCTCATTCATTCAGACCCCTGTCTGATGCAAAACTCCAAAATCCATGCTGCTACACCTAGAGTTTATGCCGCACCGAGCCGACGTGCTTTGACCAGGTGCAACAAACACCGTGCCCGTGCGCGCGCCCAGCCGTTGTCAAAGCTCAGAGTTGTCACCTGCGCTCATGCCATGCGACGTTGTGCACCAGAGTGCCAGATATCTTACTGTCCAAGGTGGATGAAGAGTATGAGCGTTCTTCTGTTGTTTTGTTTATCAGGTGCCTCGTTGTGACTTCGACGGAGGCCAGCCTGTTCGAGTCCTCCCGACCCTCTGAGCTTCCGAGCAAAGCAGCGCCGAAATTCTGCATGAGCTGAGTTCCCAGACTCGGATCCCTCGACCCACGCATGCGCGTCATCTTTCCAGGCCCGGCAGAGTCGCAGTCCCGTGCGGGTGGTGCGCGCCGGGTCGGGCACTGCCCCGACCAGGCAGACAAGGCAGGTGCTCTGATACGTGGAGTAAACCATACAAAGAACGCCTGAAATCCAAATTTGTCCTCTAGCTATAATTCGCATAATGCTCCTTAGCATTGACCCGGGAAACTGGGTCCCGGTTTCGTCCCCCCCCCTGAAGCCGAAATTCCGAAGCTTTTGAGGACGAAAATGTTTGCCAGGAGCTGAAGCTCAAATTGTGCGCGAAGACGAAATTTG